CACATCGTCGCAAATTGAATTCAAGAAGCGTCATCCGAAGTTTTTCAGCGACGGAAAAATCCTAATCTCCACTCAAACTAAGCGTTTATCTCTAATTCCATTACTCTCTTCAGCGTATGTAAGTCTTGGCTAGACATTTTATCCCACGGGTCTACCAAAGCACCGCCTTCGAAATGAAGGCCGGCATTGGAGCCCGGGAGAATGACCATGGATTGCCAGATTCTCGATTCTAAAGCTCGAAGATGTCTCTAGTCGCCGGGTCGGAATTTCTCGCTCACAGAGAGTTGAGAATGGCGAGGGAGGTCGGAGGTGCAATCCGAATAAAGTGATCAGCGAGCTCCTCTTCGCCCCCTAAAACCGTGGCTCTCGGGAATGAGCCAACGCGCGAGCCTCGCAACCGACCAAGATCAAACGCTGGGGACGCCGCTGAACGCAAACAAAGTTTGAACAATCTAAAAGGGGTACGGTATTATTAGAGACGCCACGACGTCGTCCGCAGTATATCGGCAGAACGTGCCTTATTCTGCAGTTCAGTGTCTTGTGAGAGAGCGAGAGGGGAAGTAAAATCGAGAGCTAGCGTGCCCGGAGAGGAGAAGCTCCAAGAGAGAATTAAGATGAAAGAGGGAGAGGACGAACACTGGAGGCAGCGCGGACCCGAGATCGGGAACCGGGTTGAGGGAAGCAGGATACCTGGGCGAGCGATGTTGCCGAAAATCTAAAACCGGGCATGAAAAAGCATGACTCAGTAGACAGGGAAAGACACGGTGACGGAAAGGAAAATTCGGGAACGACATTCGATTCCCACAGCACGGGAGGGAAACGTGAAAGGACGTGGAAATCAGGATTAGTAACGGGAGCCAATATTTCTAGCCATGTACCGCCTCGGGTACATTTTCCGGAGGGAACTCCGAGAATTACCTCAGCGAGAGCGTCCGTGACAGATTGTCGAGATCTTCGTCTCGCTCCACCTCGGCCGAGATCATGAGCCGGGTGTGTCGGGAGCCGATGGAACCCGGAACAAGTAGGCCTGAAAAGCACAAAGGACTCCCCTGTCGACTCGCCAGTCTGGCCAGTCGACTGGCCTGGGAGTGCCAGTTCCCGAGCCGTCGATTGCAAACCGGCTCGCAGGCCTGACGGGCTGCTTTCTCCTGTCTCCTGTCTACTCTTCCCCATCTCCCTCCTCTCGCTTTCCCGCTCACTCACTCATTCATTCACTCAGCCGGTCGTTCGTTGTTCTGTTCCGTCAATTTAGCTTATTGAATTCTTGCTCCCAAGACTTGCCGTACCTCTTTTCCTATACCCTGGACCATCCATCCGATCGGCCCACCTCCCTCCGTTCTGACTCCTTCAAGTGGCTCCGTTCGCTCTTTGCGATGCTTGACTCTAACCGATTCTCACCCAGTCAGGCTGGACGATTGTCTGCGTGAGCGAGCTTGCCGGTCGCTCGGTTCCTCCAGACGTCTGTCATTCAGTCTGTGTGTCGGTCGGTCGGTCCTTGTATCCAGCTTTCCGGAGCGTGAAACTCGCTCCCGACAGCTTGAACTTCAACAACAGCGACCTGAGAGGGCTCGCTTGTGAGCACGTAACCCTACGGGCTCTGGAGTGAACGCTCTGCTTAACTTCAGCATTGCTCACTGTTTCTGATAAGTTTCGGAAGGAAAGCAAGGGTACAGATGTACCGGACCGCATTCGTTAAGGAGTTCAGGGAATTTCTTTTCCCGGATGATTCTCTCATTAGTGTTTGTGTCTCTCGAGTAGAATCCCGATGATGATGAAATCGAACAAAGGACGCGTGTCTCAGCTGTGACCTCCCGGCATCCTCAGGCGATCCTCTTAATGTTCTGCCGCGCAAAGGACCGAGTTTCCTGCTCGCAGAAGCGGTCAGCTTCACCGGGGAGCACCGGCGGCGTCGGCGGGGAGCAAACGGGCGTGAAAGGCGGCGAGTGGAAGCCAGTAGGCAACGCAAGTGGCGATTCGGCGCAAGGAGAAATTGAATCGTCTTGTTCAATAGCTCCTAGATCGAAGCTACGGCAAGTGCCATTGGCACTCATCCGTGAGCTGCTTATGGAATGGGCTCAGGGGAAGCCGGGTCCGGACTCAATTACAAAGATCCCTCAGTCAGGCACACAAGCGGACCGGTCGGTTTGGCCAGGCGTTCAAGGATGAACTAGTTCCCAATGGTGATTTTAGGAAAAGAAGAAAACCTGAGGGTCTGTACATCGAACTTGAAGAACACCGCAGATATCTTCCGGAGGACAGACTCCCCGAATCCGGGATAAGGTTCCCGAACGGAATGGTGAGCGTGAAAAAAAAAGAAATAAAAAAAGGAAAGTCATCTCGAGAACAATGAAGAGCATTATGATGGGGACGATTTTCGGTCTGGAATGAAGGCCTCAATGAGCATAAACCAGCAGGCTTACCTAATCGAGAGGACGGTGGACATCGGAGAAAGAGGTGTGAGGCCGAGAGCCCGAGACAGCGGAGAAAAAAGGAAAGAACAACATGAAAACAGAAACAGCGGTGATCAGCTCGGGAGAACAGTCGAGCGCTCGGTCGGTTCCGGAAGGAACTCCACTGCGCGACCAACGTCACAGCTTGGAAGGAGTGGACTAGGAGCTATTTCGCAAATAAACTGTTGAACTCGCTCGACGGCCATCGCTTTGGACTATAGTTGGTTTCCGCTTCCCGGAAGCGCTCATTTTTATTTTGGGCCAACGGCCCGAGGCGTCGCAAGCTCCGAAGGAGCTCCCGAATAGTCGGAACATTTTCTGCTGCTGCCGCACGCAGAACTTCCATTACAACCACGAGGTTTATCTGGCGGCACTCGCGCAACAGCGCCTCTCTCCGTTAATTCCGCGAGTGGATCAAGTTTCAACAAAAAAGGAGTCTCTGACTCCAATCGATATCGATGCGCAGAGTCATCGACGGGAGAACGGCGCGAAAAAATCGCGTGTCCCAGAGCTGCATGCCACGAGCCGAGCTCGTTCCCCGTGGGAGGCGCTTTATCCGCGGAAAAATTCGGAAAATACAAATAGTAGCGATATTTCATGAGAGCTTCTGCTGAATCTCGGACTTCTGTTTCCACGGACCTCTATGCTTAAGGGAATCCCCGCATTCCATGATCGGTGAATGCGGTGGAAAGTGAGTGAAATCTCTGAGTGAGTTGGATCTTGTCCCGTGAGTCTCTTGTGGTACTTAAACAAACGGAGCAGATCCTCAAACAAGCTTCTGATGACTTTGTCGGTGAGGAGCAAAAAAAACGGAAAGAGATCCTCGGAGGGAGGAAAATACACTCGCAAGCCACTGAGCGCTACGAAGCCATCGTGTGGTGGCTCAGCAAAGAAAATTCTCGGGTTTTCAATTCGGACCCGCGAGCGAGAACCCTTACGCCGATCACGTACTCAATGAAAACCGTCGAAGTTCAGCTGCTGCTGCCGGTAGTGGTGTCGGCGGCGGTCTTTGCTGCTTCTGTGAGGAGTCGGACGTCGCAGCTGCCTTTGCCACCGATTCTATTGTTGCAACTATTCCCTCCACGAGCCCTTTTGGATCCCCCTCTCTGACCTTCCCTTTTTGCACTTCCCTCTATCTGCATTTGCAAGTTTCGCTCGGGATCTCCTCTCTCGAGCATAGTCCCGCATTGGACCGTGCCTCGGTTCTCACCGGATCTTTTTTTTCCCCATATAATCAGAAGCGGGGCGCGATTCCGATAGACACAAGCGATTACTCGGGTCCCTCCATAATATGAGGAGAAATTAAGCTTTCGACAAGTCGGGAGCTCAACGCTCGTAGAGAATCAGACGTAGCGAAAAACTGAAAAAGTTGCGCCTGTCGAATAGCTTCCGGCGACGTCCCAGAAGAAAACGGAGCGGAGAACGATATGTATGGTCAGGCCATGCGAGTGCGCTCGCCGGAGCGGAGGGTCGAGATCGTTCAGGAGTATGGATCGAACGGCAAAACCTTGGCGGCTAGCGCGCTACGACCGGCGTTTTGTCATAAATTAGGATTACAGCCAGCGACAAAAGTGTTATCGGCCCGGCCAGCTGAAAGAAATAGAGAAAGCAATCCAGGCCACAGTGTTTCGTTTTTCCTTATCCCCGCTCAGAAATCTCGTTCGGTCCCTTCGCGATCTGGGATTACACCCAGCCATATCGCTGCTTGGCTGGCTCGCCGCTCGTCCGGTCGAGCGGATAGCAGCTCCACAAACTTGAGCGAACCGTACACACAAGCTCTTCATACTGATACTCGCCGTGACCATTGCGCGGAGAATTTTTTCTTTTGAGTGAATTCCAGCGGCCCTAAACGGCTTCTCGAATGATATCGATTGACGGCTCAGTCCCGCCGACCCCAGAGAGGAACCTGTTCCACTGTCTGAATTTATCACGAGGTTGACCGCTGGAGCTTCCAAAGACCCGGCTCTGCTCGAACTGGCGTCTAAGTACTCCAGTGAGACGAGCCTTCTCCGGAGGCGTTCTTGCTGCTCTCTCGGAACAACACCGGGACAGGAGCGATGAGCAAGAAGCCATGACAGCGACGGAGTTCTTGGCAGAGCGCGGAAAAGGGTATACACGAAACCTGCGCTCCACCACATGCCAAATCAGTTGACAGTCTGGATGCATCTCGGAGTTTAATACGATTATGGCCCGATTCTCCACCTCGTCGGTCACAATGCGAGTCAAGTTCCGATCGTCATCCTGTGGGGTCCCGCGACCAATTGTGATCCTAACCGAATGCTCCGGAGTGCTCATGATCCCGTCATATGGCAGCAATCGGTTGTCCCGTGGCAGCAACGAATTCTCCGGAATGCAACTTACTCAGAACGATGTGTACGGTCAAGCTCCGATACCTAATGTACTTTTTCCCTTCAATTACAACATCGGGATTAGCAAGAACTTGCGAGTCGATGGAGAGCTCATCCGAAGTTCTGCCGAGAACTGGCGGTGAGAATCGAGCGACGGGAGAGTTCAAGAATTCAAAGTATAGGAAGGGAATAAAAATCCATCATGGCTATCGGTCTGACTCCGCCTGACATTCCCCTGAACATGAGTCGTTTTTGTGAGGTCAAGTGGCTCGAGGCTCCTTTCATATGCTTGACGTCCGAGTTCGTCCGAGCGTGAGCAAGTATGTCTTGTCGATTTCGACAAGGGACATACTTCCCCGTCTTCGGACGTCTAATTCTTATGTCCGAGCGACGATAGCGACGGCGACCGCTCTCCACCTCCAAGGCATAGGTCGTTCCGATACGGCGAATCTGTGCGGCCTCCGAGCGGGAAAACGAGCTATTGATTTGGAATTCAGATATCGTAGAGGTATATTAGAGGTGGAATGATCGCGGTTTAGGTAGAGATCATCGGGAGGTCCCGGAGGGCTGAGAAACGTCCACGCAGCTGAACCGGTTGCATTTGGATCTGGGTCTGAAGGCGGTCCGAAGCTGAGGGCTCCAAGGAACTCGGATCAGGACAGACTGGCCCGAACTTCGGGAGACAGAACATGCTTTCCGAGGGCCTCCGGAAAGCCCATGTGTCAGAGCGAAACGACGAAGCGTTCTATTGATGGCGAGGCTCATTATATTTTTTTACAGTCCTCTTGATCAAAATTCTGCGTCGAACAACATCATCCAAGGGGGCACGCCCACCAGTGATCCACAAGCTCAAGAATACTATAATGATGGCGAGGATGCGGCCGTCTATAATGATCCTCAGCTCGCCGAGGACAACTTCTTGATTGTCATCAATCCTGACACTCAGGAGGTGAGCGTGGCGGATGGGGGTGTCACAACCACATATGTGTATCCGGCGGAAGATGCTCAGAATGCGGATCAATTGGATTACAATGTTTTCGAAGAAGGCTACCCTCCTCAAGCCACCTATCCGAACCTCGACCCGGTGACAGGTGACCCTCGAATTTCAAGGAGCTCGTACGAACAGCATGCTCGACAGCGGAAAATGGCAAAAATTTCCCTCACTCCGCCGTTGGCAAAACGACCTTGCTCTTTTCCAGGAGTGGGGAATGAAGGATACGATCTTGTCATACAGTACCAAGATGGCGATCCTTACGTTCGAAACTATCCTGAAGCTCAGGCAGATACTGCTGCTGGGCCTACAGAGACGCCAATTGAAAATTATCGAGCGCCTCGGGCTCCTCCGGAAGCTCCAATCGCTCCGCCTCCACCTGCGGCACTCCCAGCCCCAGCTCCGGCGCCGCTCCCGGCCCCAGTTCCGGCGCCGCTCCCACCCCCAGAACCGAAACAGAAAACACCCCTCCTGCCACCTGCGAAACCGCAAGTTCCGCCTGCGGCCTCGCCACCTGCTCAAGGCACAGAACCGAAAGCACCTCCGCCCGTCGCACTGGCCCCGCCTTTAGCACCGGAAGCGAACCGGAAAGTCCCTGCCGTCCCCCCCGCGCAAGCTCCGGGTCCCACACTAGAACAGGGACAGAAAACACCTGTCCCGCCAACTGCAGCTCCGCCACTAGCACTCGCGGCTGCGAAGGGCTCCAGGCCAGCTGCTGCACTTACGGCCACTGCCGGAACGCCCGGATTGGGTGTATTGCCGACGCCGACCCAATTGGCTCCGCAAGCAATACTGCCGCCAGCTGCAAAGCCCATGCCGTCGCCAGCTGAAAAGCCCACGCCGTCGCCAGCTGTCAAATCGAGTCCGGCGCCTGCTGCCGGTGGACCTAACATGCCAAGAACACCTCAGATCCCAGCTGCGTATCCTGCTGCGGTCGCACAGAAAGGTCAGAATGCGCCGCTCCAAGCGAGCACGACAGCTGCTCTAGGTGCCCAGAAAGCACAACTTTCCGGCGCTCAACCTGGTCAGAAGGCCCCGACCACGACGCTGGGTCTAGTTGCGCAAAGAACGCAAGGCGCACCGCAAGCTCCAAGCACACCGACTGTTGCACCACATGCCGCGGTCGGGACGAGAGCGCAGACTCTGCCAGCTGTCCCGGTCGCGCCGAAGACACCGGTCGCTCCCCTTGCTCAATCGAATACTCTAGCTCCGCCGCAAGTTCCGGCCCCACCGAAGACACCAGTCGCGCCGCAAGGTCCTAGTGCACCGGCTACACCCGCGGTGCAGAGAATTCCAATGGCGCCAACAGCTCCAGGACTGCCCAAAATGCCTGGTGCACCTCCCTGTACTGTTCCCGCGAAAGTTTTACCTCCAGCGCTCCCCGCAGCTGCCCCTAGAGGCGCACCTTCAACGGCAGGTGTCCAGGTCGCCAATGGAGCCGTGAAGGCGGGTCAATCGATCCCGCAAGCGAAATATCCAGCTGCACCGCCAAAGTCAGCACCACCTTTCAAGGGCGTCACGCTGTCGGCTCCCGTAATTGTGAAACCCCATCCCATTGCCGCTAAGGAACTCGCCGGAGAAGCCCCAAAAAATTCTTCGAGGGCACCACTGCCTCACGGTAAAGGTCCAGATGGCTCCAGACAAGCGACACCATAGAAAGGTAGGCGTCCTTAGCACCCTTTCGTGAACCAGAATGCTACAAATGAAAGCGCCCCCCCCCCCCGCAGCAGCTTTAGAAGAAGATGCACGGAGTGCTGCGGGAAGAGTCCCGTTCGGAGCTCCTCCGCCAGCTGAGCTCGATTGCTCGGAGGCCCGGAGAGCGCGTCGGAGGCCACCGAGGCACTAGAGACGTCGAATGCATCGAGGGTCAGTGTCAGTCGAGCGGTGCCAACCGAGACTAACAATCAGAAACAGAGCTTTCAAGGAGAGCTCACCCTGGAACACGGGAAGCAGCAAACAAAAAACGCATCCACACGAAGTGTGCTCCTGCCCGAATACTCGGCGCCACGAAACCTGCTTTTGAGACTTGGAGAAAACTCGACTCCCTCGGGATGAGCCCCCCGGCGATTCGGGCGCAAAAACCGGAATCCCATTCACCGTCTCGTGGAACACGACAATGCGCGCTGAATTCTGTCTGGAACTTGCGCGATCCCCGCGATTCCCACGCAATCCCTTACCTGTAGCATCAGCTCCCTCTTTCGCGGGCTCAGAAACTCCACAGTCTATTCACTTTCCAGATCAACCGAGAGGCGCCCCCTGACTTTTGGCCTCGCTCGGCGGTCTCATGTCTGTTTGTCCAGAGTCTGCTCCCTCTGGCGCTCGGGGAGGATGGAAGACGGACGAAATCGTACGAAAATCGCCCAAACATTCGAATGCTGATGAATGAGCCGAATTGGTTCCCCATGATTTCATCCGACATTCGTACACTGACTGATAAATGAGCCCACGGCACCGATATGTCCTGAAGTCTTTCCAAGAAATTGAAGGAACGTGTACAAATTTTGAGGAATCAAAAATTCGAAAAAATCAATTGATTGGGATTCTGATCTGCCAGGCCTTGGATATAGCACCGATAAATAAGACCTATGTAATCCTGGAAAAGCTTTGAGGGCGTGAACGTAGGTTCATTGATTGCATCATACGAAGAACGTCGAATCGGACAGATTGAAGTGTCGTGTCAGCATGCGGAAATGGGGGTCCCGAGTAAACTTCGTCGCGACTCAGAGACAAGCAGACCACAATAAAAACGTCTCCAGGAAGTTCTAACGAGGCCGCGATCGAGCAGAAAAAGCAGAAGCAGCCACTAATGAATTCCTAAAGAAGCCTCGTCGCTGTTCTTTGTTCAAGAAAGCGCCGGTCGGGATTTTTACGCTCCTCTTCAGTCTCCTTCGCGGGCTCTGGTCATGACACCCCCAGCTATTCATCCACCCACCGAGATTCCTTGTGCCAACCTCTCGCCTTGCTTTTTCAACCACCGTACTCAGCATCCCTCTTCCACAACCACCACTGGCAGCTCCGACGCGCCCGCCTGCCGGCAAGCACGAACACACGCCTCAGAACACGTTCTTCCTTGGCGTGGAGTTCAGAGGCGCAGCGTCCCGCTGCTAGCAAAGTACTCCCAAGGCTTTGAGAGCGCCAAACTCAATAAGCTCGATGCATCCTCCCGACATTCGACTCGGGGCGCCCCGTCAGCTGTTAGTAAGGGACGAACTTAGAAAACACACCGGAGAAAAGAAGAGCTCGTGTTCCTCTACGTGATTCCCCTCCCTCTCCAATGCGAGGAAATGCTTCCGATTCCACATTCAGATCCTTCCAGTCTCAGGCCTCGAGCGTTCTGATTTCTGTGATCGTCCTTGCGAACAGATGAATTTACCGATATGCCGTAATTCCGTTAGTTCCTGCTCCCTTGCCGAATGGGCTCCCAGCTCCCAGCTCGCAGACCCGCTGAATCCTAGTCGGCTAATCAGAGTGCAAACTCCACGTTCACTGCGGACGGAAAAACCAATGCAAGCTGGCGTTCCGTGAGCGGAAGACCTAATCATCGCGGTCAACGTCAGTTCGAGTAGTCGAGACCCACGGAGTCGGTCTTCCGCTTTGCTCGCTGGAAGAATCAGGCTCGGGTAATTCAGCTCAATCGTCGAAAGTTCCCGAAGCAGGTCAAGGCTTACTCACTACTCCCCAGGAGAGTAGGCGGCCAGGTAACGGTCGAGATTCGCCAAAGTCACGCCGGCTGGCAAGCGGAGGGACAGCAGAGGTGAATGTGACTCGCCGTGACTCGCTTGCCAACAAATGGCGAAGTCAATTACAAAGGCCTCTCGAGCTGAAGCTGGCTAAGAAACCCGCTGGCGAGCAGGACCAGCGAGAGTAGATTCGTCAAGCAGACCTCCGTTTCCCTCTTTCTCTTCGCGCAGCTTTCGCTGTGTTTAGGAAAAGTCGGAAAAACGCTGACGGAGCATTCGGTTGGACGTAAAGAAGCGCGTCGCCCCGACCACCTCCACAGGCCGACGCTGTTCTCGCGCCTCTGGGGTCCTCCGTGTTTCTCTTCAAAGAAACTCGGTTCGATAAACTGAGTGAAAGCGTTCCCAAGCGAAACCTTCACGACCCGACGATCAACGAGTTCCTCCGCTATGATTCGTTCGATGGCGATGGCTTGAGAGGAAGCGGATAGAAAAACAGAAGCGAATGCGGAGTCAGCAGCTCAGAAATGCAACGAATTTGAGTGTTCGATTCGAGTGAAAGACTGACCCGCGTCCCAGAGGAACAAAGGTATTATGAAACACCGAGCACCACGTAAAAGGAGTAGTGAAGTCGGCGATACTGCCAAATTTTATGGACTTCTAAAATGACTCCGAGGTGAGTATATGTGGCCACAGTTCCCGCCAGCCCGCGGCTCCGATTCAGAAGGATTCCGATGGAAAATCCATCGCATCTTCCATCCTTTGTGGAGCTCTAATTCACGGGAGCTGGCGATTTCCGGGCTCGAACCACAATGAAATATATCCATACGGACATCTTCGTCGTCACGGGGAGCAGGCTCAGAGGGAATGATTTCGAAGCTCGGACGGGAAGGGGAATTTCGCGCCCCATTCGACCATCCGTCTCCAGCCAAGGAGCTATCTCTCCGATAAGCAATCATGGTGATCAAAAGCATGTTCAGAAGCAATTATTTCGCTAGCGCGGTATCGTATGAGAATGCAGGACTCAATCAACGCAACAAAGATCCGCGCGGAGGAAGAAGCTCTCGAAAGTCGTATTCCTCCCTCTCATCAAGATGGAGTCCTTCAGTATGAGTCCACTGCGGTGCGATTGAATCTCCCGATCGTCTCACCTACAAGAATCATGGCCTCCATTATCGAATGTTCTCGGGCGGCTGACTGAGTCGCACGGGGAACGTGGGTCGAAATTCCGTACCGCTGGAGCACCAATCCATGACTCGAGCTCCGATGACGTTACGGCTCACCTCAGTGGCAGATCCAGGATTCCTTACAGGGGTCAATCAAGCGATCAATGTTTTCCAGGGGGGGGGCATCCAGGTGGTATGGGGATATCGAAGCGTTACGGGAGGGGAGCGAACTTTCGGTAACCTACGCAAACCGCATCGCGTCATCAGCCGGATCCAAGCCGCGCGAGACATGAGCTCATTTCTCTCAACTTCATTAATTTCGTCTCTCTCTATGCCCAGGAGACATGGGTCAGCCAACCTTCCCAAAGTCATCGAGGCTCGGAGATGCTATAAAGTCAACTCAAGTTTACTGAAAGATCTCTCGCGATTTGCTATCGAGAGAGCAACGATCAAGAGAATCTGGATCAACTCCCGCAAACTCGGGACGACGCTCGCATCGCTATACTGCACACTGATATCCAAAACGTCTTCAGGTTCCTCTTCAGCCCTGCTCCCTTCCGAGTACAAAGCAGCGATCTGCAGTCCGTAATCTCTCTATACAGCTCGCAACCCTCGGCTTCGCTCCTACAAATTCGAGCGAAGGATCGGCATTGGGCAATAACGTCTCCACGCTGGTCGTGCAGAAGTCTCGGTGTGTCAAGAAAAAACGGATTTTATGCACGTCGGATAAGCGTGTAAATTCCCTTCCATTTACTGGTGGAGTCTCTCTATCAAGCCGAATATTTCCCGTCTCATATCATCTTTGGCCAATATCACTGACTCTCAAGAGGTCTCCGCTGTCTTTCATCTGTGCTTTTATCTTCCTTCCCCCCTCTAGGAATAAGGAAGTTCCCAAAGTTCAGTTTCGTATCGCTTCATTCAGACAAGGCATGTACGAAGAGGAAAGCGTCGAGCAGGGCGCCGAACAACGGAGCAAGCAACCCTGTCCGGACGAGCCAGGGCTCGGGGGCTAACGTAGCTCTATGATCAGGCGACGCACGGGGCGGACGTCCTCGATCCCCAAGCCGGAGCCGCGCTCTGACCGGATTCATTATAAAGTTTCTCGATGAAGCTCCACACAATATTTCGGAACTCTCCTTCACGTGAGGCGTTCTCAACGAGCAGCAGCGAAACGTGACCCGTGGGGTGAATTTTTCAAATCTCGGGCCGGAACCTCGGTTTCTTCCCAAATATACTTTTCCACGTTCCGAATACCGAATGTTGACGATATTCAAGATTCATCAGTCAGAAGAACTAGAGTTTTCATGAGTGTGGGACCTTCTCAAGCACTATCTCTCCCAGTTTTATCTGAAAATCAAATATGCATGTTGTGTGGGCAACTACAAGGCTGATGCACTTTCCTGGAATGTACCAGAAAGTTTTGGACAAGTCGATGATCTTCCGATAGTCATGTGGTGTCGCGCCCAACTATCAGTACATACTTGTCCCTCTCAGTACGGTAGAGTCTTCCACGAATGATTTCTTCCCGGCGCGATGGCTCGTCTAATCTGCGAGAATAAAAAAACTCCATCAACGAATGTTGTCGAGCGGTCGAATCGATCGGGAGCGAGGGTCGATATGCTCTATCCTGTAGCGTCGGAGCACCAATCCACGACTCGAGCATCGATGGGAATCAGCGAAGCCCAACGATTCAATGGCGAAATAGATCATGAGATCCAGTAGCGGTCCCAATCGACTCCAGAATACATGACGAAGAAGTCTTGAGGTGCCGACTAATATTCTCGAGCTCCTCTCGCCAGGGATTTCAGATAAGGGAAAGCTACCGAACTCGATGAAAATGATTCATGGAACGGCCTGCTGTCGGCTCCGAGGCGGGATCGTCTCAAATTCTAGTTCCGTTTGTTCTTCTGTGCTTCTTGCAATTGGAAATTATCCCGGGCCTGGGCCTGGAGTCGGCTGACCTTGGCTTGCTATTCAATTTCCGGTACGTCACTTTCGGAAACCGCATTGCTTCATCGGCCAGACCGAGTCCGCGAGAACCATTTGCTTCTTTTCGAATTCACGATGCAGCTCTCTGTAGTAGGCCGTTGGAGCTACTTGAAACAACTTATCGCGGAAACCAGCGGAGGTCTGGACCGGATTGTGCTTATCAGAGGTAGCCAGAAATTTCGTTTGAGTTTGTGGTGCTCTGTTTACGTTGCGCTGACGGCATTCATGATTAATCTGTGCCTTGACGCTGTAAAAGCGTACTGCGCGTTCCCCACCGTCATTTCGATCGACATCAGCGAGGACAATCTGAGCGTGCCGAGCATAGCTCTCTGCAGCTTCAACCCCTTCAAACGCCGAAAACTCTGCGAGGAGCCTTTTGCTAGTCTCTGCGATCCTGACTTGGACTTCGTTTCGGCGTTCTCGGAGCTCTTGGCGGGCTCAGATACCGGAAATGCCAGTGCCGAGTTTATCGAACGATACAAACAAGCTTTCATCAACCTTCGAGATCTCGTGGTCTCTTGCTCGCTCCGCGGTGTATCGTGTGGATCGGGCTTCTTTGCCCCAACCATCGTCGAACTCAGCCGCTTCGGTCAATGTTTCTGCATGTTCTGCGAGGGAAACCGAAAGTACGCGGAGGCTTTTCGATACCGTACTCAGACTCCCGAAGAAGGTCTTGTACTCGAACTCAACTCATCGACGAGGGAATACTTGCCGCACATCAAGGACTTGGGTTTCGTCTTCTTCTTCTACACTTACCGCAAATCGGCCATGGTGACCCGAGACTCAGTCCATGCTTCTCTCGGTGAATCTACTTATATGAGACTGGAAACCACCGAAATGAAACTCTTACCCGCTCCTTATCCATCACAATGCGGGAGCGATTGGCCGCCAGGATATGAAACCATAGCTGGAATCGACGAGGAACAGTACTCCTTCTCGAGGTGCATGGCTATCTGTCTGTCTCAACAGGCTATGCGCGAGTGTAACTGCGAGATCACAAACGAGTTCTCTCAACTGTCAGTCATCGAGAACGTGTGCACGAGATCTCGTGCCGAGCTCAAGTGTCGCAACAAGGCGCTCAGTAGCCCCAAGCGCTTCCGGGCGAACTGCGAGTGTTCGGATGAATGTCGAGTGAATATCTACAGGGTCCAAACATCCAGCGGAGGATTCCGAAAGACGCGCAGAAGGGCGAGCCCTGATCGCACCAGAGTAAGTCATCGGAATATATTCCATCCAATTTCGGAGCTAATCTGAAACCCACCCATTTTTGTCAATCCGTCTTTCCAAGTGTCGAAGAGTTCCTGACTGCATGATCGGTGATCTGAAAGATTTTTCCTGAGGCGCGTATATCGTTCAATGATTTCTTCGGTCCTCAGGTGACGATCTACCAAAGTGGCTCGGAAAATACCCTCATCCGCGAGAGGGCCAAATATCGCTTCTCGGAAATGATAGCGGCCCTGGGATCGAATATGAACACCTTCATTGGACTGTCTTTCCTCGCGATATACGAAGTTTTCGACGTATTGGCCGCTTGGTTCTCTTTCCTTGCGGAACGCACTCGGAGTCTCTGAGGGGACGGACCTTCAAGCAGAGAGGGAGGTCAGAGAGGAGATCAGAATGATTCCGACCGAGTATCTAATCGAGTCTTCCCGGTGGAGAGGTCTCGGACAGGAGAAGTCTTGCTAAGACTCTCTGTAGCGCCGTATGACGGAGCTCTCAAGTGGATCGAGATGTTTCGAGACATCGGAAATACCGCGCAATATCTACCGCACAAAAAAACGTTGCAGGAAGCATCCATCAGAAACGACTCCTGAGCCAGCCCGTCACGTCAAGGCGGTATCGATCATACGCTCATCGAAAACTGAGGACTTTCGTGGTTTTGCGACCGTGTGATTGCGGGGCCAAGTGTCGGGGCCACCGCGTCATCCCTCTGACATTGGGCAATCCTTGAGCCACAGAAGGTTGCTACCCCAGGATCTCTCTTGGCGGCGCGGCGAGCCTGATCGGATCTTTTTCGCGGCTTGGGAGAGGCTAAAGCCCCATGAGAGTCCGAGTTTCATGCTGCAATCACGACTGGATGGGGTATTCCCAGAGCCGCAGAGATGGATTCTGGGCCCGGGGGAAATTCGGACATAGGCCCCTCTCGATCATGGTCTGTGATCTGTCTTTAGGAAAGTGATGCAACGAATGGGTCAGCAATTTCCTGAGCCCGTGAATCTTTTGAGAAAGGGGGAAATTCAGGACGCAAACAAAATTTTTAGACTGAAGCCTGAGCTAGGGGCCCCTCCGGAAACTCTTGGCCCGGGGAAAAAAGTCCCGCTACCCCTCCCCCCTTTCGACGGGCCCGGGTATTCCAGAACAATTTTTGCATGCAAACATCCACTAGCATCTCATTCATTCCCGTCGCCCCTCCCGGAATCAACAGTGATATCATTCGGGCCTAGCAGCTTGGACTGAAGTAAGCTGCAGGTGCCCGATTGGGTGGGGGGGGGAGGTCATCCAGTCCTCGGTCATAAAAAAAAATGAAAAATCACGGGTTCGGTTACGAGCTCTCCCCACTCGGCTGGATGAGTAGCTTCTCTCGAACAGGTAGGAGCATCTCCGCGAGGATCCGGGGGAAAGCAACCGTAGTATCTGAATAAGTGCAGTATCGTGATCGTCGGGGTCATGATTGAGAACTATATTATGACTCATCAGCTCCCGATCTATCCGTGATCACGTGCCCAGTGAAGACGAGTGCCGACCCTCGGACTATCCGGCCATGATTTGGCGGAATCCGGAGCGAAGATCACCTTCAGAGCTTTCCATGGCGAATGAAAGAACATTGGATGCTCCTATTCTTCGCTCTCCCTTCCTACTCATAACTGATGATGATAATTTTCGAAACCACGAAGCACATGTCTCCAAGCTACGAATATCTCAAGCCAGTGTGGAGCCAGGCAGACTCTGACGGATGACTCGTTGTATCGGCTGCGATTCCCGGCGTGCATTCCGACTTACGACTTTGTTTCTCCCCGGTCGCGCTAATCAGACGAGACTCCGAGGCAATTTTGATTTGAGCCTCAGGAGCGGACCAGACACACGCTCGCGGCGAAATTCGCATAAGGCCCTCAACCAGTATACTTCCAGTGATTTCACTGACGGTGCCGAAGCGTGCTGGGAAGTTATACAGACATCAATGATCGATCCTCCTAAGAAACGCAACATTCTCCCAATTGGAATCCTCATATTCGACGAGATCAGCTCACGGTCTATGCTCTCTCTTGATCCCCTCTGGCTCCCGACCGGCGCGGCGCAGCGTCACTCCTTCGATACCCACGCCGCTTGGACAGAGGAACATGCAAGCCCCAAGGAAAACCTGCAGCTGTCACTTCCCTGCATTGATGAATCAAGTACCGATCCGATGATCAAACGCACTGATAGAATGAGCGTAGCCATTATGAAAATCAATGCATGCTTTCCGAGAGCATCTCATTCTGCATATACTGGATGTACTCAGTTGAGTGCTAGCCTGACACAGACAACCTGCATAGAATCGTTTCGAGGTGATATCAACTTGAGTGAGGGGGTTTCTGCGGAACATCCCGGAAACCTACGTTCGTAGCACCTCAGCAAAGCGTTTTTCAAGTATCTCCAAGCAAGTTCTGAAACCCGTGTTTGGACCCCAGCATTAAGGAGCAGAGTTTTTCCCCGGACCGCTCCGATAACTCAATGAAGAGGAACAACACAGGCCTAATTCAAGATCGACACGATTGAAAAACATCCTTGACTTCTTTATCGATTAATGAGCGCCGATGACGCCGTCCCATCGCTGCTTGAGTACGGCTCCCGGAGAAGCGATCGGATCCACTGATCAAAGCACCTCGAAGAATATAAGGGTTCTCCTGGAGCTTATTCAAGTCTTGCGTTTACTCTTCAAGTCGTCATGGAGCTTGCGAGCGCAACCCTTCGGAAAGATTTGAATCTTAACTGCACGTAAGGGATGTGTTTTGATGAGGAGCATCTCGGGCGGAATTGAAGTACTCACGAAAAGTTTTTTTGCAACGTTTGCCTCGAACTCCGTTAGTTTCAGCTTCTCCTGTGAAGGATTGTGAGATGTGAGATCTTGCAGCGGGGATCGCGCGACGGTTTATCCCGGATAGAGAATTTACAAGCGCTGTAATCGAAGCGTTTCGGAGGCAGAGGAATAATTTTACGTACGATTATCTTGTCCTCTTTGTCGAAAACACAATCTACAGTCTGGAAGAGAGATATGAGCTCTTGAGTTCCGGGCGGTGGAAAGAGCTGGCGTGGGAATCAGAATCAAACTTGTTTTCCACCAAGGATAGGCTTCTTGAAGAACACTTAGGAGTCACGAGTCACCTTGTCAAGATAATTAGCGTCCGCACAGGCATTCATCATAAATAACAGGAGTGTGGCTTGTGCACATTCCTCGAGCTGTGCCACCACAACTTTCAGCTCCCGGTCTCGCAAGTCCCGCCCCATGGGTTCCAAACATACGTCGACTTGAACGATCACCTCTGAAACTGAAGTGATAGTCAGAGATTAATTCTCGCTGGCGATCTTCGAGGACCGGACTCTTTGGGAAAACATAGATAGGGGATCCTGGCCATTCTGAACGGAAGCCTTTTCACTGCCTTACTCGGAACGGGTATCGCGGGACAGTCCAACTTTCCGTCGCCCGAAAAACTCGCGGCAAAATCAGGTGCATGCTGTTTGAGTTTATCTTGGACACTCTGCCGACGGCGTTGAGCGTGGCTTCCAAGAAAAGAGAACAGAATCAGAAGAGCTGCGGCCGAACAACGTGACATTTCACCTGGAGAATGACGCCCCGAAAATTTATCTTGTGAGGTCCCCGAGCATTCAGAAAGAGAGCAATTCTCCGAGATGAAGAAGTCACGGGGGACTCACAGAGAAACGGACAACTTCGGTCACAAATCCGGTTCGAAGCGTCATCCAAGTATAGTGACTTTCAGTGTGCCTGTTGTTGGGAAGGAGCCTTGCTACCAAGTCTAAAAATTCAGGCTGAGTTATTCAATTGCCAGAGTCAACATGCGTGGCCGTGGCCCTCTGGATAATTCCCGAGTTTTTTGTCGACGCCAATAATCAAATGTGGACGACAACATCTACTACTTGAGTTCGAGTTTCCTATACTGAAGATCGATGGCTGCGCAACGGCTCGTGCGCGTAGGTTTGGCATGATATCTGTCGGTTCAGAATTCTTGAGCGAAAAATATGCGATGACGATAGCCTCATCGATATTGACACAAACCAGCTCGATCACTCTTGAAATAGTGTTAATTCATAGTCGATCCATGGAACCTACATGAACGCATCACAAGAGCCACGGAGGAAATTTCTGAGCGTCACACGCGTCTAGTTTCCGCAAACGACCTAGCATGACATACGCCATGCATCGTCACAAGATTATTATCGATTCATTTGAACATCGCTCGGAGAGCTCGACGCGTAAGTGACCCCGGAAACCATGTCCGTAACAACCTGGGAAGCCCACCGCGGATTCTGAAGCCCGGCCCTGCTCTAATTCCCTAGTGGAACTCGGTTCCATAATGTTTTCTAAGATGGTACACTCGCGGGGGATGAGTGGGTCAAACTCGCTCGATCTGGTTTACGTTACGACACCCGAAACACTCGTTCCTGAGTGTCATGTGAACTGAGAGAAATCAGGATGCTGGGGACCGTCCACCACCTGAGAACCGCGCTGCTCTTCTCGTGTTTTATTGACAACACCACAACAAGACAGATGAAGAAGTATTTTGTGCTTTGAGATTGAGGGGTTGAATCACATTTCGTCCCCTCAGTGACGGCAATGGTCAAGGCAGTGAGCCGTAGGAAGCCCGGTATTATGAAAATAAAAGTATCCCGACATCACAATGATTTCTGGTGTTTTTTGTGCCGTCGTCGCCTCAGCTGGTGCTCCTGGTGGCTCCGCTCGATGGCCCCGTCTCTGTAAGTGGCTGCTAACTTCGTTCGTGGACAAGTGGTAAGTTTTGGCAGCTTGACAGCGGCTTTCGTCGAGGTTCTCGCATCGGCGGATGATTATTCCCTCTCGAAACAGCGATTGAGACGGAACTTTGGTTTGACCGAGCAAATATTTGAAATCGATTCTCGTCATCTGGCAAGTGCAAGTGAAGTCTTCGAAAAGTACGTTCAGAAGTCGCAGCTCGCTCGGGGAAGTTGTACCATCCGGACCCTGGCATTCAGCCTGGTCGGCGAGGAGTGTAGGACGGTGATCGCTGATGGAGGCGGGGGTCGACGCGCGACCGGGATCGATGTAGAAAATGTTTCGGGATCGCTACATGATGGTGTTGCTATCCCGGAATTCTGACTCCCACGATCTGGCTCGATGTATCGGATTGCGACAATATCGGGACATTTTGACTTTCATGTTCTCTCCCCATTCAATTCCAGCAGCGCTCCCTGTTCAGGGATGCAATTCGACCGCAGTCAGGTCTAAACCAATTATTTCTCCCTCGAACCATTACGCCAGTGGAACATTGGGAGATACCTTCATGTTAGCGGAGAATGAGCGCGTAATCTGAGAATGCTGTTATTTTTTTCTTAGAATTTCCCCTCCTAGGAATACCGATCGAGTACATTGAACCTGAGCTTTAACTGCGTTCCATCCCGCTTACAGCCGTCGAAGATTCCTCCGCAGTTCCACTGGAGCCACCTGATTCCGTCATCCCGTCCTTCGATTTTTGCTGGCCTCCAAGAATCAACGCATCCGATGACAGTTAGCTGCCTGGGACTCTTTCGCTTAGCAGGCATCCGGAACGTACGCACAAAAACGCCCGGACGTCCACTCACTAGAGCAGGGAGGCTGAATAAATAATTCGTGGAACGCGCATGCACAATGGATACAGCAATCATACAAAGCACGGTCCAGGCACGGGAACATCGGCCTGTATTTGATAATGATAATTATGAGTTGGAGTTCCGTTCCGCAAAGTCATTCTTCTGTACTCTCGACCGACGAAGATGACCAAACGTCGGCCGTGGCACCGCATGACAGCTCAATCCGCGTCCCTTACATTCGGCCATCTGAGCGTGTGCATAGAAGTGAAAATTCTGGATCGCTGAATGACTCCCATGGAAATTCGCGCTGTAGGGTGAACGCTGCTCAGGATTCCCAATGCAAGTTCTTCCGGCGAGGATGTCGATCCATAGGCTCATTTTCTATCATTCGCTGCTGGTTGTGGCAAATCACGAGAGTGAATGGGTTCTTCGGCTGCGTTGACCCTCCGCGAGATCCCAAGGAGTCCCTATCGATTGTCATTCCAGGCGAGAGAGGGCTCGGCAGTCGCGGATCCGCGCGGCGGCCAAAGACGGTGCGCCGTCTCCAACACAATCCGTCTCCCTGCTCAGAGAGAACAGCCATGTTTGCCTCGAATTGCCTTTCCGCTTCGAGACTGAGCCGTTGAAATACGACGCCCGAAAACCGAACATTCCGCTGTGTTTGTAATCGAAACCCCACATCGCGCGCGTCTTTCGGTGAATCTCGGAGCCGAGAACGAAAGGAGTCGAGAAAAAGTTTTGACTTCTTGATCGCGGGGAGAATTCACTCTCTTCAGGCGGAATCGAAAGCTATTCCATTCCCGGAGACACTCTGTCGCAACATCGGCAGAACATCATGTGGAATCCATTATCGTTACGTCGACTTGGCCGAAAAACAGAAAACTCAGGCAGGGGCTCCCCGAGGATCGCTTCCAACTCATTGATGTTTCGTTTCGCCTTTACCGGTGATTCATCCCCATCAGACTCGCCATTTCAGCGAGGAGCATAGATGCGGATGTGAAGACACTCGGAGAGTCATTTGTTGGAGAATCGAGGAACGGAGACCGCTCATAGGGTGCGCTCAGGGTATTGCTTTGAGATTGATGGTCGCTTTACTGACGAGCAGAAATTCCTCGCCGCCTCTTGCTCCTCAAGATCTAGTTGGAGGATCTCTCTCTAATTCTGGAACATTCCTTTGAAAGGTTCCCACGGCAATTCGCTGATAGAGGCGAGCGTCCAAAGAGCTCGGATGATGATCTCACGCAGTCGGATCCCTAGATTCCAGTCCCCTGGGAATCGGAAGTTCCGAGGCTTCGCCTCGAAATTCGGCATAATCCAGCCGCGCGGAATCTAGAGCATCGAGATCAGCACAAGGAGGGATTCACGGTGGTGAGATCAATGAGAAAACGACACATGCCGACGCCTCCAGTTGGGCCTCTAAGGCAGCGCGGATGTTAAATCGCCGCGACTCCGATGACGTGTCGAACGGCTCTCAACGTGTCCGGACTTCGACAGTTTATTACAAAACGATAATTTACGACGAAAGGTGTCATGAGTGAACTTATATTTTCTCCAAGTTGCGCGACAGCATGAGCATGTGGCGACTTTAATGGCAATCGATAGCTATATTTTTTTGACACTCCTCGATGGTCTGTGGCACGGCCCAGCGTTTCGGAGTGATTCTTGGAGCTTCGCGGCAACTGAAAACTCCCGGAGATCAGGTAGATAATCTCATTCATAATTTTCTTCTCGCTTCTGAAGACTCTCAGAGCAATCAGAGAGATACTCTCGAGTACACCCACGGCTCGACGGGGGTGTTACGGGCTACGACCTCCGGGCAGGCCGTCTCACGGAAGTTCTTTGCGATTTTCGGAGCAACGAAGGAAGTGAGGTCTTTCGGGCTCAAGAGCGATGCAAGCTCGGTCATTGTCACTTGAATCTCATCGGAAGAGACGGAACCATTTCTGCTGGATTCCCGGGAGAACCCTTCCCTCCATCGGAATGAGGGATCGAGATTTTCTTCGAAGTTTGATAAATATTCCCTCTTCCCTCGAACGTAATTCCTCGAGCCTGTGCAAGACTCCGGCTGTCATTCGTTCAGAGCGTATCTCCACTCTCGCCGCATGAACATCATTCCCGGGAGTGTTTCTGATGTGTTTCTCCTCCTCCCTGATGATCTCTGTACTTCCCTCAATGTATCAGGGAAATCTTGTTCCATCCCGAATCCTAGAAGCCTCTTATTGATTCGTCGCGTCGCGAATGAGAACGGGAGTTTCCCCGCTCACCGCGTGGTACATATATTCGAAATGCCCGGGTTCCCGAATGAGCGTGATCATGATGTGAACACATATGATGTTAGCTCTGATGATGCCTCAGCCCGGCGAAAGTGGTAATCTTATTGACAAACGGTGCTAGCATTCAATTGTCAACCCGTTGATAAAGATAGCGACAGCAGCCGCTCAGCGGGCGGAAACAGTGACAGTATCGAACGACGCCTGAAGTATTGCCGTTCCCCCTATAACATAATTCCCCGTCCACTAGCGAGTATTCTCCCGGTGCAGGAGCGAAAGCCGTTGCGGTCGTGGTGGCGGTGGTAAGTTTGGGTGAGAGACGGGCTTAAAAGCAACGTTCTGAGGTCGCGGCGGTACAGAATATCGTCGCTCGTCCCGCCGTGGAAGATGAGGTTCTGTTTCCTGCTGGCACTCCTGCTCCTCGTCAGAGAATCGCGCGGCGGGGCCACCGGCTTCGACTACAATACACCCGAGGATGAACTCCACTCCGTGAGTGCTCACATGGAATAACTGTAGCCCGCCCCCTTCCCCCCACCATGGATCCGAAGCGATCCGATATCGGGAGAACTTCAGAATTTCTGTCGTTTTTTCGACCCAGCCTCCCCAACTCCGTGAGCGACGTAACGACTCGATTCTGACTGAATGACATGCATGTGCAGGAATACGACTTTATCATCGTGGGAGGAGGTCCGGCGGGGAGCAGAATGTTTGAGAAGCTAACGAACGTCTCCCACTGCGGACGCGCCTATCGAGTGCTCTTGATCGAAGCCGGTGGGAATCCCCCACTGTGGACTGATGTACCGCTTTTCTACATGCACACCGGTTCACCGGGCTTCGACGATGTCATGTGGTGGTTCCCGCACAAAAGCAACGGACTCCACAATCTGGGATCGAAGAGTCCAACTGTTTTCGGAGGTGGGTGTGATAATGCTGAATGGAGATTCCTTCAGGAGTGGGTCTCCGAGTGCATCACAGGTGCAACGATTCGAATATCGGGAAAATGCTGTTGTCGCACGCAGACCAAAGCGATTTCCGGCGCCAGACAGTCGTTGTTTCCTCTCGTTTAATTGGAGATTTCTTGATTCGGTTAAAGAGAGTCTGACCGAGAGAAAGTCGCTCCCCGAATTCCTTGCTCTGAATCCCGAATATTCTTTTCGATGCGGTATTTCCCCCTCTCGAAGTCGCAAAAAAATCTGCTGTCGAATCCCGGAGTATCTGATTTCGCGAAGCATGAGTCACTCTGAGCTCCAGAGACAGCAATTCGTCGGGAATCGACCTCCGACGGGACTCACTTCACCCATTGGCATTCGATATCGGCGGATTGGATTATCAAGATCTGGAACAATGATCATTGGCTGCATAACCTTGATCATTGCAATTCCCGATCCCTAACGGGTAATTAATGCTCGGCCAATGCTCGGTTAAATGAGCCGTCAAAGTTTCGCAAATCACTCCTCTCGCGATAACATCGAGACAAGGCTGGCGCCATTCGATGGATATCGACACCGCAAGTGAATTTTCTATGCAAAACAATTCGATCGATATCGGACTCGATTTACGAACACGATTTTTTTCCAACACTTACGCCGAAAAAGTTCGAGAAAGCAGCGCCGTCGAATCCAGTGGCGAATTCTGAATTCTCGTGATATTTTGCTCAGTCGAACATTGTGGGGAATCACTCGTTGGGAACGCCCGACTGCCCGACCGGTCATTTGAAACAAGACTTGGGAAAGCCGGAAGTTGACGCGAACAAGTTAACGCTTTGAATTTCTGTGTTTGACTCTCAGAAATGTCTGATCCTGAATAGAAGAAAGACCGCCGATCCGATTTGATTCCGTTCGTAGCGTGGCTGTAGAATTGACTTTGTTGCGAAATCTATTTAGGGAAAGTTCTCGGAGGGGGGTCCACGTTCAACGGAGCGGCTGTCCAGAGGGGTTGCGCCGCGGACTACGACCGAATCGAGCCTGAAACCGGCTGCAAGGGATGGGATGCCGAAGAGGTCTGGCGACTCTTCATGCACGACGAAAACAACCAGGACCCGGTGAGACCACTCAGAATTCCGGAATCTCGTTCCTTCCTGCACTACTCTTTCGATTTCCATCAACTGTCCGTTTCTTCCCCACAATCGCAAGATTCGAATCACATCGTCAAGAGCTCGCTTGTCTCCCCAGGGCGTACGGAACAACGGCCATCACGGCAAAAAAGGAACGCTGTGCGTAAACTCTCTCCTCCTCGGTAACGGAGAGACCGCGGGCTATGAGGCTTGGAGAAAAGCTCTCGAGCTCCAGGGCATGCAGTATTCTGACGTTCATGACGGGACTTGTCACGGGAAAGGATATCACTTCCAAGCGGCCTACTGTCACGGCTCCCGCTATTCGGCCGTGACTGCGTTCATTACACCGTTCTTCCAAGCCCGTCGGAACCAAATGCACATCAAGCTCAACACGATAGTCACCAAGGTTCTCTTGGAACAGCCCCCCAATTCGCCGATACCGCGGGTCGTGGGTGTGGAGACGGCTGATGCCGCGACCGGTCGCCCTGGGAGAAGATTCTTCGTCAGCAAAGAAGTCATCCTCACAGCCGGAGCTCTGAAAACCCCCCAGCTCATGATGGTGTCCGGAATCGGTTCGTAGATGCCTCGTATCATCGCTCAATGGAGAAATATCATTTGGAAGAATTCGTGACTAACTCTGTGGCGGTCGTTTTCAGGTCCTGCGAATCACCTTAGAACCAGAGGCATCCGACCTATCGTGAATTTACCGGGGGTCGGACAAAACCTCCATAATCATCCCGGTGTTCAATCGTTTTATTTGAAAGGGGTTCCGATGTCTTGGCTCCCGAACAGGACTTGCTCTGAGATCGACAGATATTACAAAGGGGAGAAGAGCTCGCTCCTGTCGTCTTCCGTCAACATGGCCGGAGTGGCTTACCGTCAGCTGGACAGGATCGATATGCCTAGGCCGCTCGACGACGATATCCTGAGATACAACTTCGCCGACGTCGAATATACGCTTTCCGGAGCGAAAGGTTTCGGAGGTCCTTGGCTCGGAGTGGATCAGGATCTAAAAGACGAATACATGAACGGATTGAACGGCCAGTCCATTCTGACCGTGAACGTCTATCAAATGCACCAGAAATCCAGAGGGTACGTGCTCTTGAATTCGACGTCGATGCGCGATCCGCCCTACGTGTTCTTCAACTACTTCAGCGACAAATCCGATCTCGACACGATCGCGATGGGAGCTCTGAAATTCATCGAGATGCTCAAATCACCTCCTTTCGCGTCTCTTGGCATCGAGCTTTACGACGTCCCATTCCCGAAGTGCAAAAAATACGCTCTTCATTCGCTGGAATACCTTCGCTGCTTGGTGCAGTACACGACGCACGCGAATTTCCATTACGCCGGAACGGCGAAAATGGGCTGCAATCGCCAGAAAGACCCAGATGCGGTGGTCGACGGTAGATGCAGAGTTTATGATGTCACCGGACTCCGGGTCGCCGATACGAGCATCGCACACAAACTGCCACAGGGTCACTCGATGGCTTACGCTTACCTCACGGGATCTCGTTGCGGCGACTTCATCGTCGAAGACTACAACGAGCTCAACGAAGTCCAACGGCAGGAACAACTCCAACAGCTACAGCAGCAACATGTAGAGGAGGTTCATCGGCACGATGCGCCGCAGGACCAGCAGCAGCTGAACGAACAGCAGCAGTTGCAGCTACAGCTACAGCAACGGAAGCAACAGGAACAGCTTCGGAAGCAACAGGAGCAACAGCGGCAAACACCGCTTCGGAACTACCAAGTGTTGACAAAATCAACCAATTGATTCTAAATTTTTAGCGCAGGATTGAGAATATAGTGTGATATCATGACCCAGCAATCAACGCTAGCTCCGGGAAGAGGAGGCCCGTTCGAAAATGGAGGCGAGTCCCGATCTCTCCGGCACCGGGAACAGCGGACCCGCTTTACAGTTTTTAGGTTGTGCCCCCGGTACTCGGCATGAGCGACTTGCGCGAGACGAGAATCAGTGAGAGTCTGTTATTCTCTCGGTGGGAAATTGTACCCGGTTTCAATCAGCGTTGTTTATCCCTCGCTCGCAAGATCATCGAGGGAATGATATCCCCTAGTTCTTTTCTTCGAAAGCGGAATGCTCGCATGTCGCATTTCTGCAAACCTATGGCAACTATGAATCAGAGAGGCTTATTGGATGTGTTGGATAAGCACAAATAATCATACATATTTTCATCAAGTTTGTGCTGAATCAGGAGACATTATATTTTGTTGTTAAATAAAATTCTTAAGCCTGTGATTCAATCCCACGCCCAATGACGTCTTCATTATTTCGGATCGGAGTGGGGCTAAAGGAGTTGTCGCCCGCTCCCAGATGATCCCTTCGTAATGCAATGGTATAAGAGCGATCGCCATATTGGATTCCAGCACCTTTCGAAAACTCGATTCAGCCGTGTCTGCCCCCCCCCCCCAAAGAGAAGTCCTGCGTGAGCCGCAGCGCGGAACATATCGGCGTCGGATATCGGGCCGGCTTGTATCATGGAGAGAACTATTGAGCTGTCGCCTGTAGACGAGATTGTGACCGTACATTCTGCTCGTGCACGTCCCGAAAATTCAGAGGTCGGACCTCTCCAGCATCGTCAGTCGGGTTCTCTTCTGACTTCCCAATTACGTGACTCCTGCAATATTCTCGGAATTGACCAAAACTGCGAGAGACAACAAGAGAGTCTACGGTGCCTCGATAGGCTCACAGAGCTCTTTCGACGCGGGAACCTCAGCCGAAGGGGAATTGAGCGCTGAAATTGCCAGAATGGATGCGGCGCGCGACGATCGTGCTGTTTACATGACGATGATCAGCGCCTCTTCGCTCGATCGGAACCGGTGTGTTGTATTCCGTCGTCTCGTTCCGTTAGCGTTCGATTCGAGTGCGGCGGGAAGAAGAGAACGACTCGTGGAGAGAGGCCGCCAGAGAAGCGCGAACAGAAACTTCTATCGAATATCGTTCGTAGTTACTGGGTGTTGATGTCGACCTCATTCCAAGCCGAATCACACCCGAGAGAGTCTTCTAGCAATCAGCACATCGCGACAGCTTGATATTCAAAAGTTCACATTGTATGAACGTTTCTGAAACGGACGAAAGTTTTCGAATTTCGAAAGCGCGCATCCGGCGATCGGCACGACACTTCCGTTTCTAACCGTCGCGGTCGCGCCTCGAACTTCAGACAAAGACATTCGCGTGCGGCAAGCGTTCGCGTCGGTTGATACACACCGGCGAGCTGATCTTTAAGGTAACATACGCTTCCTCCAAATATCGAGTCGATTCATTGAAGATTATATTAGTATAATCCTTTTTCTCCTTTCGATTATGTCTAAGATATCCGCGAACTTCCAGAATCTTCACGGAGTTCGCTTCGGAAGAGTACATTAAGCAGAGATCGTGCGATCGCCCACAAGAGAGGAAGGAATACAAGCGCGGCTCGTTTTCATTTTCTTCGATTTTTCGCGGACCGGAATCAAAATGACGTGAGTAACTCATTCAGTAAACTGAGGATATCCTTCGAGCGTTTTTGCTCACCATTATTTAGCTTCTCTCTGAACGCGCGAATGCTCCACAGTCTCCACAGCCTCACGTGGCGCTATTGTGGAAACAGATTTTTTCTTCGAAGAGGTATCCGCTCGAGTCGATGGAAGGCATTCGACGTTCGATAATAATCGACGTTTAGCTCTCGACGTTGCTGATTGCTCGATCGGAATTTCCCCTTCATTGGCTCAGAATCCTTGAATTACTTCTTCCGTAGTATTTCGCTGATATGGTTAGGCCTAGTGTCGAGAGTCCCGTCGTCATATGGATTGATCTATCTATCGTCCTGATCAGCTTTCGCGCTTCACGTTTCGAATAATTGGTATCGGAAGGCCTCGCCTCGCATCTCCTCTCGTCAATCCGCTCGTAGGCGGGAGTCGAGGCCCCGAAACTCCGCTGTCCCGCGCACGCGTAATCGAGCGCGGGCATCGCCTGACGATTCTCGCGCGTGGCCGATTTTCATACTGAAAAACGTTGTCAGGAGAAGCCCCTGAACCTGAAGTCGGTGGAAGGGAGGGGGGAGGTGGGTGACTGACCGCCTTAGGATATCCTCCCATCTTTGGGCTCACGGTCTCTAAGCGGCTCACGGACCTCCCGGCGAGGAATTTTCAGCGAACGTCCTCGATCTGTGAGCTCGTTGACTTTCCCCCTGTCGCTTTTGAGAAGACTCGTTGATGATATCTTCAGTATTGAGTGTCTCCCATTCCAGGTTCAACGGTGAAGAAGGCGGCGATGAGTGGGGTAACGGAGACGACTGCGACGCCTACACTGTTGCGTCGCCAAGCGGTGGTGATACAGGCTGTCGTGTATGCAAGCAGGAGGGACACTTCGCCAGAGAATGCCCCAACAAATCAGATAATCAAGGATGTTTCCGATGCGGAGAGGTTGGGCATAGGAAAAGTGAATGTCCCAATGCTGGGTCGGGAGGTGATTCACGAGGCGAGTACGACGACTGAATTCGATACCTTCTCACGATCCCGGAGATTCTCCGAACCCGATCGAGTGCCATTCCTCCTAGAGTCGTGAGTCCGAATAATGATGATATCTTCATACGTAGCCTGCCGCAAATGTAACGAAGAGGGGCACATTGCTCGCGACTGCACCAACGCTCCGCCGCTCGGTGAGGAATTTTTTTTTGTCGTGGTTGTACTTCTTCAAGAGTCGAGCGTCGGAATTTATCAGAAAGCGGCCGTGAGGCACTCGAGTCGACGTTTTCGAACCAGCTGAACTTCTCCGTGTTCCAGTTTGCCGGACCTGCAACCAGGAGGGTCACATGTCTCGTGACTGTCCCGACGGCGAACCGAGGAGTGAGTATACGAGTTTCGACTTGCCCTCAATATCCATCAATCTACCTGTGGAGAATGTCTCCTCATTATATCGCAATTTTCCCAGCGTGTCGGAAATGCAATGAAGAAGGCCACATGGCGAGGGAATGTCCTAACGCGCCTCCGATGGGTAAGCTCAAATTGATCTCGTTGTCGGAAAGCCCACCATTAAATATTGAGTTCGATCATTATCTCTCCTCCTTCCTACCATCGATCAACACAACCTTACAGTTTGCCGGAAATGTAACGAGGAGGGCCACATGTCTAGAGATTGTCCCAATGCTCCCCCGGACAAGTGCTTCAACTGCGGTGAAGAAGGCCACCGGGCCGGCGATTGTAAGAATGAGCGCGTCGAACGACTGGGCGAAGATGGGAAACCCCTTCCCCCGCCCGTGACGTACATTCCGTCGACCGAGGCCGTCACGGACGCGACGTTCGAGATGTTGCATCATAGCGACGCGAACATCAGTCGCTACGACACCATGGCGGTGACTGTGAGCGATCCCCAGTTCGAAATCCCTATGAACACTTTCGCCGAATCTGGGTTCTCTGCGAATCTGATGGATAAGATCGTCACGAAGCTGAAGTTCGCCGCGCCGACCCCGATACAGAAATACTGTATCCCGATCATCGCAGCCGGACGAGACGTGATCGCGTGCTCGCAAACCGGTTCCGGGAAATCAGCGGCCTTCATTCTCCCGATCCTTCAAAAGATCATGAACGACCCGGCCTTACCGTCACGTGAATCGATTCGCGGCCAACGGACGCAGACGCCTCTGGTGGTGGTTCTTTCACCGACAAGAGAACTTTGTCTCCAACTCTACGAACATTTCCGTTTGTTTTCGGAGGAAAGCCCGAGACGTATCGGAGTTTCTCCCGCCTACGGAGGGACCCAGGTTCGCTACAATGCAGAACAGATTAGCAGCGGCACACATGTCCTGTGTGCGGTGCCTGGTCGTCTGAAGCAGTTTTTGGACGACGGAAGGATCTCGTTCGCGAAGGTTCAGTACCTCGTTCTGGACGAAGCCGACAGAATGCTGGATGACGGTTTCTACGCAGCGATCAAGGCCTTCGAGGAGCACCCAACGATGGTTCCGAAGGAGAACCGTCAAACGTTGATGTTTTCTGCGACGTTTTCGAAAGTCGAAGATTTGGCGCGGCAGATGATGAAGCCCGACGCGGTGAAGGTCGTGGTGGGTATCTTGGGCGGCGTCAACAGCGACGTCGAGCAAAGTTTCATTCTGACCGAGGATTACAAAGCGAAGCGGGAAGCACTGAGACTGATTCTGATGGAAACTTGTGGCACTCCGGGCGAGGGAGCGGAACAGACCGAGCTTGGAGAAGCTGGAAAAGTCATGGTGTTCGTCGAGAAGAAGAAGAGCGCCGATTTCATCGGCACGTTTTTGAGCCACAATAAATTCGGCACGACAACCATGCACGGAGATCGCACTCAGGAGCAACGTGAAGAAGCGTTGCGAACGTTCAGGGACGGCAAGCACGCGGTTCTCGTCGCGACGGAGGTCGCTGCCCGTGGTCTCGACATCAAGGGTCTAGGCATGGTCATAAATTTCGATATGCCACAGGACATCGACAAGTACGTTCATCGTGTCGGTCGAACGGGCCGAGTAGGGATCGCTGGTAAAGCGGTTTCCTTCTTCGACCCATCGGCGGATGCTCAGTTAGCCAGTCAGCTCGTGAAAGTGCTGAACGAGTGTGGGCAAGCGGTGCCCGACTTCATATCCAATGCCGCCTGCGGGGACTGCAGTTTGGACGACCTTGTGGTGAGTTGGACTTTTTTCCCCAAAAATATCATTTTGAGATCGTTCGAATGCGCAGTTGCTTTTCCGAGCTTGTGATGATCCGTGCAATCTAACTTGACGTTCCTCTCTTCTATGCTTTTGCAGGCTGACGAGGGCGGCTGGGACGACGGCGGCTGGGAGCAATAAATAACTCCGGTGCTCGTGAGGATCGAGTCGGCGTTCCGTAGTCCTGGAAGCTGCCCACGGATCGTTCACGCATGGAGAAGATGACAAGCCGGTCACGCTAAGCTTTCCTTTTGGAAACGCTGATGAAATTCTCATCGATGTGCAAAGTATCGATGACTGAATCTGCCCATGGAGAGGCACTCCTTTGTTTGTCTATTAGAAATTGGGCAGCTGCGTTAATTTGCAAGCTTGACGCATATTGGGGAAGACACCGGATTGTGGAACGTATCTTCTCGATAAAAAAATCTTTTTTTCGAACATGAGATGCTCTTTATTTTCCGTGCATGAGATCAAGCTCTCGACCACTGCCATTACCGAAGATCGTCGGTATTCATGGAATCTAGACGGTGATTCTCACAGTGAGTTCCACGGATTCTCCTCAGGGAGGACTCGGGAGATTTTCCATGAATAGGTGCCAAGAAAATAAGTCCTCTGGACACCGAATCCATCCGTCGAATTTTCGGGCTTATTGTTAGTCATTCGCTTTGATTGCCGGAATGGGTCGGGTGCCGACCAGATTTGACCAGAACAGGCGTGGAACGAGAAGTGGATTTCTGCCAAGAATAATTTCTCCCGAAAGATCTAATGAAGTGAGTCTGAGAGAGGAAGAATGTTGAGCAGAGACGAGTACCTTGCTTTATTAGCTTAATCCCGATGGCGTTATCTACAGTGAACCCTACATGCGATAGGATCCTCCGAAATGAATGCTTCGGAAATTGAATAGGATTTCGACCGGGAGCGCTTTTCCTTTGAATACTAAGGCGGTTTCGATCGAGGGGAACCCGGTCCCCTCTCGACCAGAGCTAGACTTCCCCGGAAATGCGTTAAAATACTAGAAGATGAGTTTTCCCTCCGGTGTGCCCAATAAGGGTAATTAGAAAACGACTCCGTCAGCCGTCACAAAATCGACTGCGGTAACCATTGGGCGATCTTCATGATCGCTGGCTGAATTCTCAGATTCCGCATCGCACCGCGGATCAGGAACTTCACAACTCATTCGCAACCATGCCTGTCTGCCGCAAACCACCCAGCCCCGGTCCGGAGCGCCGAACTTTCTAGGCCGCGGACCTCACCAAGTCCCCTCGCTGTGATCCCCTTGTCTGCCGGCGCTTTGGCGGAACATTGTTGATCCGGAACTTCCACTACCGCGCGTTCGGAACAAGGGACTAACCGATACCGTTTGCCCCCTCACGGAGTCAATCAAAGGCATCACGGGGTGCGGGAGACCTCGCCTGGTCGGCGGATCGAGCCGGCTGGGCTCGCGAGTGAAGTTCTGGTCTAGATCCATACGCTCTCCGAGCCCCTGGAGGTGTTCCTCCAGATCCCTCATTCGATCCCGGAGCTCATCGGTGATTTCGAACGACTCACTTCGGCCCTTACTCAAAATGAACAATTTCCTCCTCAACTGGGACGCCTTCCGTCGCAGCTTCAGCCGAATCTCGTTCTCATCTAAGGTTCTGGATGGCCTGCTGTCGAGCCAGATTTCCTGCGCGATCTCGGTGGCCCGCGCGCAAACTTCCTCTGAAAGCCCGTTGTTGAGGGCCACCGGCACTCCGCATGAACTTAGCGGACCGATACCAAACTCGAGAGTATGTTTGTACACCAAGTTCCCATTCTCGCCGAATTCGGCGTCCATGTGATAGTTGCTGACGTTCGGGAAGAATCGCTCGAGATGCATGACGAGCTCGAAGTGCGTGGAGAAAATCACGAAACTCGTGAAGCCGCAGAGATATTCCCCGACGGCAAAAGACAACGCCGATCCATCTTCCTCGCTGGTACCGCGGCCAAGCTCGTCTATTATGAGGAGCGAGTCCTCTTCGACGTGTCGAATCATTTGTCCTATTCGGAGAACTTCCATCATGAACGTCGACGCGTTACTTTGAAGATCGTCCCCGTGTCCGGTGCGCGAGATTATGGAACCGGCCGGTCTGAAGACGGCCCACTTCGCGGGAACGTAGCTCCCGATCTGTGCGAGGATTTGCATGAGAGCGACCTGCTTCATATAGACCGACTTTCCGGAATTATTCGGTCCTGACAACACGATCACGTTGTCGTTCCTCGAAAAATAGATCGGGTTGCATTGGAAGTCTTCGTGATCCTCAGACGTCCCGTAGCGAGTGTAGACGGGATGCCGACTTTCCTCGACAACTGTGGCGCTGTCGCTGAGTTTCGGCCTCACGAAGCCGTGCCCGCAGGTGGCCACCACTGCCAGACTACAAGCGACGTCGAGCTCGGAGAGGATTTCAGCCATTTTATAAAGACATTCGGTGTATGGTTCGATCGACTGCAGTAGGGGGGTCAGCACGACCATCGTTTTGTCGTAGATGACGTCCAGCAGGTACTCCATCCTCTCGTTCACTTGGAGTAATATTTCCGTGGTGAAGTGATAGGTGGCTTGTTCGGTCGTGATCTAATGGTTGGAAATGAAATTGACTCAGGACTCGGGAGACGATTCGAGACTTCCGATACTCTCACGAGCGGATTTCCGCCTCATTCTGGTGCCATTCTTCAGGGACCCATCGAGAACGCTGCGGCGTTTCGGGTGCATATCGAGCGTTTTTTTTCGGAAGTTTCGGGGTACTAACCTTGAGTAAGGTCGTTGGGAGCTGCGCCGCCGAAAAGCCCTTCCTACTGAGTGTCAGGTGGAAGCCTCGCGCTGCGTTATAGGTGAGCTTCACCGGCAGTTGGTGATTAGCCGCGACGTCCTTGCAGGCGGCTTCCGCGTCGCGGATCAGTTCTCCGTAGAGTTTTCGATACTCGTCGAGAGTGTGGCTGATTCCCGTTCGGACGCATTGCATCCGTATATTCAAAGAGTCCAAAACCCCGCGGCTGAGAGTCGCCTCAGGAATCAGGTATCTGTCTGTAAGGAAGATGAGCATCGATGTTTGTCATTTTCGCTAAATGAATCACGATTGCGCATCCATATCCATCTGTCTATATATATAAAAACGTATGTCTGTTTGTCTGTCTGTCTGTATGTCCGGGGTACCCTATAGACTCGAAAACGGCCGAACCGATCGTCGTGAAAATTTGTGAGCGTGTTCTGTGGGATCCAGCGGTGGTTATAGGGGGGTCAGTTCTCCGATGCGATGAGTCCTTCTACCTTAAAAAAATTCTTTGAGTGCTCCACCCACGAAAATACGAAAACTCGGAAAAAAATTGAAAAATCTGAAATTC